GAAAGCATAGCCTTCAATTTTTATAATTCATCTTTGCAATCATCAATCCTGAATAGTACCGAGCGCGAAAATGATCGTATTAATCACATGCACCAATTAATCAAGTTATTCACTTACTAAAGTAAGCGCAGCTCGTGTGGCAAGTAATTTTCTACCTTTGACAGCACGAACTGTCGCTGTGGCGACGACGGAAGAAGCCATATTACTCTGAATACTTCTAATAATCTTCTTTCAAAACTTTAGAGACTGACTTCAGATTCCTAGTGTGCGTGTCAAACGGTGACAGACAGACGTAATACATACGAACTATGAATTAATCCTGCACGTGTGAAATAATTGCAACATAATACAGTATACAGTATTGTTGTTCTCAACCGGAGGAGCGTCCGGAGCGACCCACCTACGCGACCGACGCTGTTCGCGCCGTTCGCCATTAGTGCTTAAATCTCATTCTACTACGTTTGTTATTGTTATTTGTTTTTTATATTTAAATATTTGTTTTGGATACTTGAGAACAAGATAATTGTCGTTCTTTAAGTCATTGTCTAAAATTCCAGCCAAGAAGATGTGGTACATAAATCTGAAAGGTAACCTTTAATATACTGTTAATTTCTTATAAATTTAGTTCAAATTTCATGTTAGCAATCGTTTTTACACTTATTTGATATACATAGAACCTGATCACGAACATGAGATTTATTAATGTTAATAAACAAATTGTATTACGATGTTCGGCAGGACGTCGAGTATATTTAACACCAAAGGAAGAATTTACATTCGGCAGAAAGAGTGGAGATCTCTCACTTCCAAACGATCAGTCACTTAGCAGATTACATGCTTCTATTTGCGTGATACCAAAGAAGGAGCTAAAGGTATTTTAGAAAAGTATTTTAAAACAATAAGGTACGATGACCTGTTGAGCTAAATCTTTTGTATCGTTCCAGGTTGGGAAACCGACTTCAATCTGTATCGTAAAAGATCTAAATTCAAAATACGGGTCATATATCTTACATGGAGACAATAAGACACAAATCTCTGCAGAAGGGTATCAATTAAAGGATGGTGACCAAATACAGCTTGGACTGCAAGATACTATACTTACGTAAAGACTTGCTCTTTATATTGCTCAATAGAGTTGTAAGAAATCTTAATCAAAGATACTTTTTCCTTTAGGGTAGTACATGTACCCATAGTGACACTAACTTCATCTTTAAATCATGAAGATAAAACGAACCTCGCAAGATTAATGACCAAGTATATTGATGGAGTAATAGCTAACAAATGGGTGAAATGTTGTACTCATTTGACAGCAGTAAAGCCTATACTAACAGAAAAGGTATTGCTAAATAGTATAATTGATTTGACTCAATTTGGATCTGAGAAACTAAGTAGCGTATGAAACAGGTCACTTTTGCCATGGCTGCCGGATTACCGATAGTAACTCTGGAGTATTGGGAGGAAATGAGATTTGCTATGAAGAACGGTCAACCGCTGCCAGATCCAAAAAATTATACGCCATTGATCGCGGAATCAGTGATCAATAAAAACGATGTATCGCTTTGTCCAAATATGGAGAGGAAAACATTGTTTGCGGATAGAATATTTGTATTCTTATGTAAAGAGCAATATGAGTCGTATCGGCAGATAATCGAATTGGCAGGTATATAAGAGAATGTAAATAATTTGATATTACGAACAAAACAATTTGTTCAATACTCATCTTAGCAAACATTTTATTTTAGGTGGCAACGCAGTTGTTTATTCACGTGAAAGTTTTGCTATTAGAGACCTTTGTTCTCCAAATGTCATAGTTCTCCAATATCCTTTCACCGATGCATCAGAATCTACGCAAAACATCGTGCCAGATTACGACAAAATATGTGAGTAATTCTTGATAAGCCATATTTCCCTTTTAATGTTTGTACATTGAATTAACTTGTTCTTTCTTTTATTAGGCGATGCACTAAGTGCGTGCCATAGAAAAATGATACTAGCAACAGAGATTCCTATTTCATTGTTGTATTGTTCTACAAAAAGATTCTGTAATCCGACGTTTAGAATGGAGAAGTTATTGAAACAACGAGCAGTCAAATCTGATAAATCAAAGGTTCTAGTTATAGATACACAGGATCCATCATCTGACGTTAGGATCTTACCGAACGTAATATCTAACATACCTGTGCGAGTAGCAGTTGATCATCATAAACGTTCAATACAGATTATTCCGGATACTTGTGATAATTTTAACACACAGAATAATGATTCAATTCCGAATCAAGCTAATGATGAGTCAACATTTCTCAAGTCAGAGAATGTTACCGTAAGGAAAGGAGCTCGCAAGAGAAAGGCAGAAATTATTCCTGAAACTGTCGAATCATTGCCTCAGGAAAAAGAAGAATCTAGTGGAAATGAAAAGGGAGTGAGAATTAGTTTTGTAGATGATGTGATCCTTATTCCTGACACAAACGAATCTCCTCTTAAGGAAAGGAATACTAACGTACACACATCACAAAAGACAGTTACATGTATTCCTGAGACAAATGATTCGACTCAAGAAAATACACCGGAATCCGACGATCTCAACAGTTCGAAAAGAAGGAAGGTGTCTCCTGCAGGAAATCCTGTTTGTATCCCCGAGACGATTAATTCAAGGTCTCTCAATATATCATCTAAAAGTACGCAGCCTCATACTCATAAAAATAAAAGTCTCACTAACGAAGAGTCATCGAATTCGAGAGAAATACATGACATGCTAAACCAATTGCCCGAAATACAACTAGTACCGAAAAAATCTACTTTCAGCAGCGTATCGAAGGAGAAAAAGGATGTAGCAACTGTTGATAAAGATCTTACGACCGAAGCATCGAATGATAGAAATAAAGATAAGAAAGGCAGTCAACGAATACAAATAATTCCAGAAACGCCACAGAATGATTTTACAAATTCTGATGGAAATCTTATGCAAACACCAACTGCTTCGAGCAAAGACTCGAGCAGTAGTGATGTCGAGATATCAATCGTGAAATCTATTATTAACGACGTATTAGAAAAGAAAAAAGATGTAGAAACTCTTGATAAAAATCTTACGGGAGAAGCGTCAAATAATAGAAGCAGAGATAAGATTAGGAGCAGTTCGGAGATAGAAATAGTCCCAGAAACGCCAGAGAAAAATGTTGAAAATTCTGAGGGAAATCTTATGTCAACACCAACTGCTTTCATCAACGACATAAACAATAGTGTCGAAATACCGATCATGGAATGGCAGATCCCATTAAACAAAGAAGTCGACAAAAATCGTAATAAGTCCACAGAAGAACACAGTAACCAGATTGTTACAAGCAGTACAGCGAGTCCAAATCAACAGACAACGGTACCTCTTCGAGAGTCTTCTACTCCTGTATTTAACCGTCATTCCTTGTGTTTTCGTAAACCTATTGGTAAAACCTTTAAAAAGGTGTGATGAATTATATAAAAAAAACTTGCAGACCGCCGTAGTCTGTCGTTGATAGTAAAACAGATTTTAATCTGAATTTTTCATTATTTCAGGCTTATTGTAAAAGACCGCATCCATACTTCAATTTCGCGGGTGGTGACAAGCATTTGTGGAAGACACACGAAACAACCTGAAGTTTTTTCTATCTTTATAATAAAATATAAGTAATTGTTAATATTTATGTAGTTTAGTGTCAAGATTGGCTACGCCCATCGGAAGTATTCTGGATTACAAACACGTTCTTAAGTTTTTCAATTTAGAAAAATTGTAAGCGTCCTGTTTATTTAATAACAATAATCTTTATTTACAAATAAATAAATACAGAATCATTTATTTGTATAAAAAGTAAATAAAATAGAGAATCGTTTATTTGTATAAAAAATAAATAAATAAATACTTTTCTTGTTTCAAGTATGTGTTCAGTTTGATTAATTCCTTACCTCTGCGTTAAGATCATGAAAATGTGAAATTAATGAATTCTTCATTCACAATCATCAACATGTTGCGCGTGTTCTCGTCGAAATCCCAAGTCAGACTGATTTACATCCTTACGCGCAATTTTTGTTTCCGGTATACGTGCCTTCTTAAAAAGACAGTTTTTAACAAGAAAGGAAAATGGATTTTTCCATTCAGTAGGAGTGGACGCTTTAGTCAAATGCGCACAGAGTTCGAGGACCATCTAGTCGCTAATTCTTGTTTTATTATCCCAAAAATTATTACATCTTCGTAAAAAATTATTACGAAAGAAATGAAGTGAACGCGGGAATTAATTAAATTTACAGAAATAGCATGACAAACATAAAATCGGCGAAGATCAATTTGATGCACGCCTATCGAATCAATCAGAAACGAAATTTTTAACTACGTAATCTGCAGCAAAGAATGATTCGTAAATCGAATGTTATCTAGTTCTTTTCAATCAGGAATGTATCTGCAAGCTGAACGATTCTGTATAATGAAATTCCAATTAACGCTATCTGCTGTTACAAGAAAGTCTTTTTAATCACGGTGAATCTTATCGCAACGTCTATCGATTTCAAACAAAGATGTTTCCACCATCGATCAAACGTGATGAACCGCAATCACGTGATTCAAATTTGTATCGGTATCGATACGGTGCAATATATAAAACAGTAAGGAAGAACGTCTCTTATTTACTGTGCGTAGACAACATGCGTATCTTCGTACTGGTTTCAGCGATCTTCATCGCGGCTGCGGCCGCCGACGAGGAAGTCCTGCCTCCCTTAAAGGGGTACGTCTCACTTCTGATTGAAATCAATCTGCTACTAAATTAATTTCTTGTACATTACTTTTTAAAAATCGTGAATCGTACGAATGAAACTTATAGAATGCAGTCGCTCTCAATTTCGTACGAGACGCCCGAGCAATTCTATTTACTGAAGAACTACGTGGGCGCTCCAGGATTCGATTTCCTGAGGAGCACCCACGACCTCGTGGACGTACTGGTGACAGCGGACAAAGTGGAAGAATTCAAGGAACTCCTCAAGGAACATCGTATGAATTATACAGTCATGATCGAAGACGTCGAGGAGAAAGTGACGGAGGAGAAGATGAGGCAAGAGATCGCGCGTAGAGTTCAAACGAAACTGTCGGATTATGCTGGCTCCGGTAGACTGTCCTTCACTTACTACCCCACTTACGCCGAGGTATTCAAAACAGTCAGAGAATGAAAAAGGAGGAATTGGTCGAATTTTTCCCTTAACACCGTTTAAACTTACGTCCAGGTGAACGACTACCTAAACTACGTGATTAAGACTTACGGGAACGTGGCCTCGTTGATTAACATAGGTAATTCGTACGAGGGACGAGCGATGAAAGTTTTGAAGCTGTCCACCGGTGGCAATAATAAGCCGGCTATTTTCATCGATGGTGGAATCCACGCCAGGGAATGGATCGCCCCAGTGACAGTTCTTTATATAGTTGACACTTTGCTGGCTAATAACAAGGGCCTTCTGTCTCACGTCGACTGGTACATCCTGCCGGTTCTGAATCCGGACGGTTACGAATTCACGCATACCAAAACCGCGGTAAATAATTATCGATTGGCTTAATAATATAATATTCTGCTCGTCGAATTTAATCTTCCATTTCGGTAATTGACCTAATCATTTCCTGTAATGCATATTCTAGAACCGATTATGGAGAAAAACGAGGAGCAACACAGGTTCCAGTTGCAAGGGTGTCGACGGAAACAGGAATTACGACATGGAATGGATGAGTAAGTAGTTTTATTTATGATAAAATTGTGCGAACGTAGACGTATTGGCGACAGACATCATATATCGATTGATCGTGATCGATAATTAATTACTGATTGACTACAAATTGGTTTAAATGATTGGACGTCTTTTATTTGTCGAGTGGCAATTAAATAAAGATTGGTTTAACGATATCACAAACGAGTACGCGTCAATCAGATAATAATTGATAACGTATAAATTGATTAAAAACTGACGACGAGTGTCATAATGTTTATTGTGGCGAGACTGTTATCTAGGAAAATGATTTCGATCGGCCACGTAGAGGAATATGGAACAATAGATAAGGAAATTTCTCTTATTTATTTCTATCACGTTGTTAACTAATGTAATTCTATCGTTGTCTCTGAAGTGTACCTAGCACGTGTCGCGGGTTAACTCAACTATTTCGCTCTCCAACTTTTCTTTAGAGAGCAATTGTCCGGCCGTTTTCATTGAAGTTATGATTGAGCGTGATAAAAACTTGCTCGTTACCGCGCAGTTGTTAGCCTCCCTGGTTCTCTTCGTCCGACACGCTGACTTTTGCGAGGATTCTGAATTATATCTTGCGACACGGATTTCGCTAACAATCTTCTCCCCCGTCGCTGCCTCATGGAAGCAACGACGGTATTAAAATAAATGACAATACCTTCGTTTCGGACTGACGTAAACACGATTTCTCAATTACACGCGAATCCAATTTCTCGTCCGATCGCATGATTTTATATAATTTAGTCAAAGTCCGGAGCTGGCGCTCGTATTCTCCTGGTACATTTAGCTGTTGAAACAATTGACGTTTAACTCGCTAAAAGCACTTGTCGCTTCGTTGACCTAAACGATCCTGGAAATTATTTCGAGGGTTCGAATTTTTTTATGTTCCCCGAATTCCGGTCAAATAACTTTCGCAAAATGTAACCAACGGATGCTTCCGCATAAACCCTCGACATACTCTCTAAATTGAGATACTACTAAATTCGTCCTGCCGGTTGAGTTGAAAGTTTTCTGGTCGACGGAAAATTCGCGGCACCACTTTCTCGCATTAAACTTTCGGAGCAAGATCGATCGATGCGTGTCCTAAATAAAAATTTTCATCGGATTACTTCCTCGCCCACAAAGCGCTCTAAACTTCTGTTACTATACTCGCAAAGAATCGAATTCTTTATCAATATTTATTGTTAATTAAAAAGTATCGTTTGTTCGTAGCTATTGGCGCGTCGAACAATCCATGCAGTGACACTTACGCTGGCCCTAAACCGTTCTCTGAGGTGGAGAATCAACACTTGAGGGACTTCATCTTAGCACGAAAGGCGAATATCAAAGCTTACCTTACGTTCCATTCTTACGGCCAGGTAATTATTGAAATGAAAATAGAAAACGATAATTCTCGATATGGAAATCTAAAATTCTGTCTTTACAGTATATTTTGTACCCGTGGGGATTCACGTCCAAAGTGCCTGCCAACGAGCCTGAGCTAGTAAGTAGCTTTTCCGAGTGCTACTATTATATTATTTAATTATCGGGATCAGAGACTAATCCTTAATTTTTCCTCAGCGTAATCTTGCGATCAGTTGCGCAAATGCTATCGCCAAGTTCCGTAAAACTAAATACACTTATGGAACGTCCGCCAATCACTTGTGTAAGTAATTAATTAGACATAATTATCTTGAACAGTTTTTTTTTATCCTTTTATTAATTCCGAACTTTGTTATCATGTACCATTAGATCCAGCAGCTGGAGGCAGTGATGATTGGGCCATGGGCAAAGCCGGCATCAATTTATCCTATACTTACGAATTACCCGGCGGTAATTCCGGATTCCTGTTGCCACCATCTGAGATCAAAGCCGTTGGCACAGAGACGTTCGAGGCTATCAAAGTAATTCACCAATACGTCACGTCGAAGTATGCATCGCAGCATTAATTCATCGCGCTTCTCGCGTCTACAGAAATTCATCAATTGTATCTATCTATTATCGCGGAGACTATACGGTGAATGATTATGCAAACATCGGAGTATAAATTCAATTATAGAAATATCGACAGAATAGACCGTTTCGATTCATGTCTGAAAATTCTGAGGAATATTTTATAAACCTTTGAATATTTACAATCCGTAGTACAGACTCTCAAATGAATTAATATCTCAATAAATATTATTTTATATCAAATCCTGTTCCTCCTAATTCCCTCTGATTGCCGAGCGAAATCGAGTTACCGCGGTGATCAAACTTAAACAAATGTTCTGACGTTACACAAACTGGAACAAGTCGAAACAAGAATTCGAATTGTCCAAGTGCGGAGCCCGCAAGAGGCTAATCAATACTAAACCAACTCGGACCACCGCACCTTGTCCCGACCAACCGCTTCTAGGAGCTTCTGAAAGGAACAAGTCATCCGCCGTGTTCCCGTAATAATAATCGCTCTCCCGTTGGAGTTTCTCGTTGACCCGCAACGCGGCTCAGCCCGCCGCTTTGCGTACCGATGAAAAAAACGAGCCGGGGAAAACGTTTACGAAAGATGAAAAGCGGTGCGCGAACAATAAAGAAGAATGAAAACAAGAGCGTGCGAACCTTCATCCGTGAAACGGAATACACAGGTATTGTACGATGGTAAGCGCGCAACAACCTCTTCTGTCGCCCGACCACTTTTCAGTATTTTTTTTCCTGCCGCGCGTTTTTAGGTGGGCATTGCGCGAAAGCGAGAGTGGCTCGGAGAGAGAGGGAAGCGAAAGCTCGAGGATCTGGTCGAGCTGAAGTGGAGCACTTAGCACGTAGAAGCCCGGGCCGAGTATCGTGACCAAGCTCCTTTACGCTTATTCCTGGCCCGACCCCTCCTACTACCCCGCGTTCGCTCTAATTGGAGAAACAACAGACTCATTAACCGACGACTCGAGCGGAGACGAGAGCTCATTTCGCCCAGCTCTAAGGGCACTGGGTCGTAAAATTTTTGTATAACGAGCCACTCCGTTCGCGTCGCCTATGACGGACTCCCGAGCCGAGTCATGTTCCTTCGAACCAAAGGCGACGATGCCATGTGCCACTGGCAAATGCGAGAAATCGCTGGAGTAATCGTTTCTAGTTTATACCAGCGCTTATTTAATCAAATGCAAGACCATAGAAATTTACACGTTTATTGCACGACAATAATCAATGGATTTCTTAAATCAATTTAACAATTCTAGATTGGAAGAAATAACGCGTGGTATAAATACGTTTTAATAATTCGCACGGTTGAAATGACGTTCTGAACTGAACGGGCATAAGGATTGTTAAAAGACTTAATGTATTTTATTCAGATGATAATTATCCATAAAACATTGTTCATATATATAATACATATACGCATTTTTATAGGACTATGAACAAATAACTCTCGTGTTTCTAAGAGCTAGACCTTTAACTTAACGTAGATAAATGTATCCTCACCTCTGCTTTCGTACGAAGAAAGAACGCAGGAAGAAATGCGGCCGAGGTTCTCTTTTCACTGTTCTCCTTTCAATAACACCTCGCTCGACGTTATGACCTTCTTGATCTTCGCCTCGCCTTATCAGCCGATGATTCTTTGGTATTTCTTTTTTTTTCGTTTACGGATTATATTTGGTGGATACGGATAAACTATATAGACCACTCTTTAGTAAATGATTAAGGTAGCTTAGTCTACACATCGCTAAAGATACGCTCTTCGAGTAAGAATCCATCTCGCCGTTTCATCGCGTTCGGTACTTCTGTTTTCGTGGCTTTGATACGGTCGAACTATTGAAAATTCATCGACATGCAATGTAACTTAAAGAGAAATTTCATGAGACACTTGATAGAATCAAGGGATCTTATATTATTCGGTTAAAAATTGTCGACAACTTTTCAATTCAGAGAAGACCCTTTTTCAACGATAACGATTGAATATTATAAAACGGAAATGTAACTATAAATACAGACGCGTCGCGTCGCTAATCTCATTAAATAAGAGACCGCTGATCGTTCTAGGGCTGCCGAAGTGATCCGCGACTCTTTTCTTGATTGCGTTTGCTCGATCACGTACACGAAAGATCTCGTTATCGTTCTTCGGATATTAAAAATATATGAGCTCGGTCAAACGATAATAATGATACATAGAAATGGTAAAAATGCGTACGACCAATGTCTGTCTGCATCGTATCAATAATTCATAAATACTGTTTCCATTATTGATACGGCGCGCATATTTTATATATCCAACCACCACGGCCATTATGATTTCGTTTCTATTAGGATAATTATATTACAATATTACAATACAGTAGATGTAATAAATTATGTAAATTATAAGTACGTATATGTCTACGGTAATAAATGTACGGCTTAGCGAAATTACAGCGTCCCATTATAAAATATACGTAAAAGTGAAAACGTCGCAATCCTTACGCAGGAAAAGTACTTGGTACCTTGGAAACTACAAAGAGCTCGCAGCTCCGGTTCCTCTCCCATCCTTCATCCGCTTCTCGTTTATTTAGAATTTACAGTCTGGAATCGTTCACGGGTTGTCGTTTCAAGGTACGCGAACATCGATCATGCTCTATATTACACGTACGTGTCTATTCACGTTCCTATAGATCGACCAAAATGTTCGTACACATCCTTGCAGATCTTTTTATGTAATATAATGTACGAAAGGGGAATAGAAATCCGCACGGATACTCGCAGCCCTAGCCACTTCCCACTAATTAAACGTGGATGCGATCCAGTCGAATTCGTTATTCTCGGTTTATCTAGGATGATAGCGCTCGACGTCCAACGGTAACGATATCCACAATTACCATTCGTGCTTTTATCCGAGCGTCGATTTCGACGCACGTGTGTTATGAAACGAAAGCACGTTTGATCTCTTTACGCTGGATGCGATGTAACTGCGATTAATTGCAGTTTTAGAAGAGAATCACGTCATTCCTATCATTATCCTTTGCACGTCGCTGTTATCACGGAGCCAGTTCGTTATCATTTTTGTTGTTGTTATGGTATTAGATCTTCGCTTCTGTCGTTCTAATCGATTACACTAAATTGGACGATGCTTGCCTGTGCTTTGGAAAAAGAAATCGCATTCACGCACGCCGTTCTCATCAAAAATACGTTTTGATATGCTAACACCGTGGCTCGTTTCTCGTTCTCTGTTCTCTCGCATCTTTTCACTGCCGTCCCATCCTCTATCTATAATGGGATTCGATAGTCTTACTCATCATTACATTTAATATCGTGGCGTATAAGTCAGCATCGGAATCGGCTAAATTTAAATATCAACGCGATCGAAAACGTCCGAGGAGAGCGAGCCGCCCGACGATTTAAAGCGTTTCGACGCGTGTTCAGTCGTACTCCCTCGCCTCTAATTAATTCTAGGGAACGTAATAACGCGAGCTACGCTTCTTCCTTTACGCTAAACTTAAGGTTACACGAATATTTACAACGTCCTAAATGGCAATTAAGCTTAACTTGACTGATTAATATGCCCGACGCGTCAGCTAATCGAGTTTTTTTTTTTAAATCACCGAGCTACGGAGATTCACGGAAAAAACGGCAGAATTTATTTACAATCGTACTCGCAGGTCGGAGATCGTTCACCTGTGTTCGCACACAGTTGAAGCTGGTAAAAATGGCTTGAAGTATACATATATAGGAAGCTTTAAATTAATTTGAAATTAAGTAGACCTCGTTTATATCCTGGGAAGACGTGATTCTGTAGTTCTGATTTCAGCGGGTGAAATCCGGTCTCCTCCGGGAAATTAAAGAAAGGGAAGGCCATTATTAATTAATTCTCCGTTACCGTGCGACGTAACTATGTGTGTGTGTATCTCCGGAAGACTACTCATTTCTTTCTTCTCTTTTTTTTTCCATGAAACGTTCTACCACAAACGGACGGCCTGGTTCTTCACCTATTTCTCAACGACGACTAGAAAAAGAATCCATTAACGCTGCCACCTTACTACTTAGGAATCATCCGCGACGGCTACTCAAACGAGCCGAGAGAGCGACGAGTGCCGTGGACAAATCGTAACGAATCTTCCGAACAACGTAACCATACCGCGCGGCCGCGATTCTTATCACCGACAAAGATAGTTATCACAGATAAGCAATGCATCGTGACTAGAATAAATTTGAACCGACAACGAGGAACATACCGAAGTGTCAGTTAAACGATTTAAAAGAGAGGATGCGCCGATAACGATGTAACAAAACGAGTTAAGTGATTGTCACTTCAATACGTTCTCCCGTGGAAGCAATTTTCACCGACTAGAATTTCCGTGATAAACCGGAAGTCAATGGAGGTTGGTTGTAACTTTCTCGAGAACGGGTTGCATAGACGCGTCTGTAAAGATTAAGGAGACGGAGGAGGAGGGAAGGAAAGAAAGAAAGAAAGAAAGAAAGAAAGAAGTGAAGAGAAGTTGCGCGTTGAAAGTTAAATACTCGCAGCGAAATGGGAGAAAGGAAGAGAAGGATTAATCGATCAGATGGACGTAAATGGAGGGCGAAACGCTTTAAATCTTTCCCGTTCGTCGAATCCTCGGAGCGGCTCGAGATTCATCGATACTAAGTTCGCCAAAATAGGTCCCAGATCTGGCATGAGACGACCCTGAATTATTTGTTAGGCATTTAAGCTATATACAGACAGGTGTGTTATCCTTAAGGGAGATCGATATGTCTCGTTGGTATGGCGTTGGTACAGGGAAACCCTGGCAATGGGCAACCGTGTACCAATGACTAATTCTTTTTCTTCTTTCTACTTCCTCTCGTTCTTCTCCTTATTCCTTCGCGGACAGGGATCCATTAGTCAACGCCATGACTGGGCCAGAACTTCCCCTCGAGTTCGTGTCAGACTTGAGTTCCAAGGATGAGTCCTGCAACATGTACAAACCGAGCGTCTCCCTGCAGTAATTAAGTACACGCGCCCGAAAACTGTCAACGTAAGACTTGTTGACCGGCGATGCGTTTCGATATGTCGGACGATGCGTGAGCGTCAACAAAATGAATCGACAGTCGCAGGAACAGGATCAGGTTGGAATTAGTTAAAAAACCAAAAATGATGTTACGGAAAGAATTCGTAATGAGTCTTTCAAGCGCGCACCGCGAGAGATGTTGCTCGTCAAAGTTATAACGCGTTTATGTGCGGCGATTACGCGGGAACCATTTGGCAATGATTGTCTCGGGCGACCGAAATGGTGCAAGGTGTTGAAGGAACGTTCGTGCCTGCTCGGGTTTGATTTATCGGCGAGCGGGTAACGTGTCGACGCTTTTACGACGATACTCGTCATCGAACGATTGCTATTAACCGATCGTAACGCTGGCGTCATTGTGCGCGAGACAATAGCTGCGCGAGGATCGTAATTTGTTTTAACGTTCAAACCCCGGCTCACCACCACGCTGTTTCGGCTGTATTTATTCTTTTCCGTTTTATTATCACGCCCCTATCCCAGTTACGACGCGTTCAATGACTTTTTATGATTTCGTTCGGCTGCAGACAAGATTTCGAGATTCACGGTTAAAATTCCCTCTTAATTATCGCGAAGGCATCTGAATTTATTATTTATACGAAATAAATATTTGGTTAATTTAAGAGACATGATTTGTGTGTTTCGAATATGTAAAGTACGATGATTCCGGTAACGAGATTTGTCATTTTTAATTGCCCAGTTCAATATAATAACATTAAATTCAATTATCCGCTTCGATTAATTAAATAGATTTCACGAAAGGGATTGGAGGAGCGGTTTGTTATAGAGACTGACCGGTGACCAATAATGCAATGAAAAAAGATTGATTTGAGTACTTTCAATACAATTACGCATAATTCAAGCAGTGCGCGGCGGGCGAGTATAAAATTAATAAATGCGACCTAATGAAATAAAGGAATTCGATGGAAAATTCATTTGACCGGATCACGGAGCCGTCGGTATTACATTTATATAAATGTTCAGGATAAACGCGTTTGGAATCAAAGCGACGTCTCTGTCAAATTTCGAAATCGGATTCCAATAGAATATTGTTCCGATTTCGGGGCAAAATATGAAATTCCCATCGTACAGTTATAATCCGATTAGCGCGCGGTATGTGTCGAATGAAAGAGTTGAACGAACAATAAGGCGACGGAACTAAGAGATGGAACACGGGGTGCGTTCGACGTGGTACTTACAATGCTGAGTGCGTGCATGATGCAGGCCTGGGTGGTGTTCTCGACGTGGATCAGCTCGTCGCATTCCTCGTGGTCCAGCCCGTTCACGTCAGACCGTATTTTAATCGGTGACAGTGCCGCCTCGTTGTCCGTTGACTTGCCACTGTCAGGGGACGGCAGTAATTCGTGTCCATCTAGATCCTCCTCCTCCGCGCGTTCCTCGCAATCCGATGCCTTGGTCTCCTGTTACGAACCAACAGTTTTGAAGCGAGCGCTTTAATTTATATCGTAACACTGGAACCGATGAATCGCTAACAACAAAGTTTCCCGTCGCCGGGAGAAAGCGATTTAAATCGAGAGATGAAACGAAATATGACATTTAAAAATATCCCCGGAATCGGAAATGTGCGATCAATTGAGCGCTTTAGGTCGACCTGTTTCGCTTTCCTTTTGTGCCGCGAGATAGACTCTGCCGCGTATCGTACTATACTACTACCGGGGCTCCACTCACTTTTACCCGCTTGGCTGACCAAAGCGCACCCATTTTCCTTCTTTTCTTTTTTATTTAATGTTCCCTGTATCAGATACTCCGGTTCGTTAATAAATTGCGTGCGTCTATTCTCGGCGAACGTTCGCTACGTTTATTAAAAATATATTTGACGTCCAGAGTCGAATGATTTTAATTACTCCCGTAGAAAATGTGCCGCGGCACAGACACAATTAACGAGACGAGTCAGTTCCAATACTTTTTTCGTAAGACAGAACACGGAATCTTCGTTGGGAAGGGTTAAATATGATTTCTTTATACGTATCGCGAAAGATTGCATTGCTCGCGGAATTCCTGGTAGCTGTGTAAAATCCGAGCTCGAATACGTCGAATGGAAGGCAATAATAACGGTAACAGTCAATTTGAACGATATAGGGTTCCGCGCAGCAAAGGGGAGGAGAGAACACGGCAAATCGTAATATCGTCAGGAGGCAAGCTCTCAGCGCTTAAGACAAGACTTCGAACGGAACGGAGCGGAACACGACACAAGCCACGGTACGGGAACGAAACTCCTCGCGCAACAAAAGAAAGAAATCCTGTCGCCGTGGGGAACGACGTACCTCCACTACAACTTGGGAAAGTATTACTTCATCATATGTTTCTCTGTCGATATGTCAACTCCAGGGCACGGACGTGGGCTACGAATCGAGCTGTCAACCAATCGGAACTTTTGTTTCGGCTCCCGAGATCGAGAGACCGTCTTTATTATTTTTCACCCCCTCCTCGCGTTCGCCTATTAATTCTATCGAGCGTATTTACGGAAACACGTTCCCCTTTCATATATAAAGATATTATGCATAATTTGGGAAAGCTAGATTTAAAATTCCTTCACTTTCGAATTCCTTTATATCGTATACTATTTTTAGCCATCGTTTCAAATGTATAGACTCTGCTGTCTTTAATAGAAATTCTATTTTCAATATACGGATGTTCTTCCGCAACACAAATTTCACATGAACCATTATTCTACTGTCAGTTTTCTCTATGCTCGGTCCATTGAGCAACGGTAAATGAATTCTTTCCGTGAAAGAGAGGAACTTCTTCCGATTGTTCTTTCCAATACGGTATTTACCTCGCTGCGAGACTTTCCCAGCGAATCCATAAATCCCCGTCGATTTTTCTGCCCGGAGATTAAAAGAACGGAGAATTACTGGAATTCGGCAGTCAAACGGCGGCGGAACGGTTTTACAATTCCAAAGTGCGAACTTTAATTCCGACACGTAAGAGTTTCCATTCTGACGGACACGATCGGATCATCAATTTCGATCAAAGTTAGACCGTCGTCGTTTGACCACCGAAGTATTCGAGCGTCGCGCCCGGTCGGAAAATATTTTCCCGGAATTAAATCTGCCAGAACAGACGGTGTCGTATTTTCCTTGCAGACCTTTTCTCCGGGCCTGTTCGTTCAGATAAGATTGCGCAGTCATCGTTCGCCGATTTACGTTTCGACAAAAATAATGAAACGGAAAATCTATCCGAACGAAATTAGTTCCCCTTTCAGAGATTCAATCTCCGCGTTACCATTTAAGGATGTATTGTCTATACAGTCAATCCCAAAAGTTTATGCACTTTAGAAACGCATTTTTTAAAAAGAAATCAGACGTCGGAAAAACATTGCTAATAATAAACAACAAAAAAAAATTTTCGATTTTTCCGAGATTTTTCCAAGGGGTACCCCTTCAATTTCTTCCAAATTTTCGTTTTTGGCTAATAACTC